ATTTAGAGAACGATGCCGTGATTTATTCATACGCGCCTGTGTGTGTGTGTATATGCATGCGTGTATATATTTTTGCGTGCAAGGTTGGTCTATGTAATGGCGATGTTTATTTTGGGTTCCGAAGGATTACGCCTTTGTTTTATACCTCAGTAAACCTATTAGTAAATGTGGTCTTGGTACGTCACCAAACAAACTTAAATGAAGTTAACAAACATAATGCTGAATCAGACCTCGTCAGGAGATCAAGACCGTTTTGCATTTTTAAAGCGAGACACTTGTAAGTTTACACACAATGATTGCCACTGGCAGCGTAGTTTTAGACAAGAGTGTCTTAAGCCAAACGAACAGTGGTGTCGTGAGTCTGAATCCAGTACTTAGTGTTCAGCCGTGAACTCATTCTTCCCCCATCGTGCAAATAAAACAGACGGCTTTAGGATTAAGGATTTTGGAAGTGATCCAAATAATATGATTAATATATCCAAAGATCAGTAAAAACGTCGAGTTGTACTGGATAGGACTCTTTGTTTTGTAAACGGGTTATCTCGGGTTTGATTCTCAGTCGTATCCTGACTGAAATTGTTCGTGGTTTTCCCCACTGGAATTCTGATACATTATAGTATCTTGTACGGGAGGATGTAATGGCATAATTTTGTGATGATAATCTGTACCATTACGCCACGTTTCTTTGTAGCAAGCTGCATCGTACAAGACATATTTCCATGTTGTATACGCGGATCTTAAAATTTGGCTGTGTTTCAGTAATTTTGTTTTAGAGCAAACATGGGTTGCCCAATAACCCTCCATTGAAGATTGCCGTCTTCTGGGTTGTTACGCTGTGTAGTTTGGTAGGTGTCCACCAACGTTTCAGAGGTCCATGCTGCATCCGTCATCAGGGCGATAAATCGTTGGACATCTACCAGACTACACGGCGCAACAACCCAGAAGACGGCAATCTTCAGACTCACCGCCGTGAAAACCTCAAATCCTACAACCCACCATTGTGTTGCAAACACACCTCAATTACGGTGTTCGTAAATTTGGATTTTACTCTTTATTTATCGGAATATCCATATATTAACTGATGAAGCTACTTTTTTGTTCCCAGGTAGTTATGACAAGCATTAAACCTGAAGAGGGCCCATTCGGCTTTCTCATAACCGAATAGCATGTAAAAATAGTGAATGTTAGCACTAGGGACCTTATAGACTTGTACGTTTGTCTTAATCTTGAATTTTAATTATGAGGTTTAATTTCATTATACAATACTTACTGTATACGGTGTGAGAAAAATGTGTGGACATGGCCGCGGGCCGCATTTTGCCAATTATCTGCTAAAAGATTTTTTATGATCACTTTGTGCCAGCTGGCGCTGGCACAAAACGCGAGTCGCGTACCTGATCACTTTGTGCCAGCTGGCGCTGGCACTGGCACAAAACACGAGTCGCGTACCTCTTACTGACGACATGATTGCCTGACAAACCTGCTGTTCGGAGAGATTTGTTATCGTCTCATTTGTGGCATCTTAACGTTGAATGTGGGCCGCAGATTCCACAGGCCCATTCGAGTTCGAATACGGTTCATGTGCCATTTTTCCACTTCGATGTTAATGGTCATTTGGCTGACATGCAAAATCCTATTTATAAACGTTACAACTAAGTAAAAGCATGATTCTAGTTTTTCCTTAAATCAATGTTTTCCGAACTTTTCAGTTCGCGAAAGACTTTTGACATCCTAAATAATCACGGAACCTAAAATAAAAAAATAAAGAATCACAGGAAAAAGTTTTAGAAGAACTTGGAGAGCTTATTTTCCAATTTAATGTTTATGACTAATCCCTTGGACTTTGTCCATCGCCCCAGTTTTGTAACAACTACGTTTCGGAAATTGGCTCTATTTTCAGGATCAGGTGATGGGTTAAGATAAAAAGATCTTACTGTCTTTGGCTCCTAGAGATATCTCAAACTTTCATGCAAGGTATAATGAAGCCTGGTCGTGGTTCGATCCGCTACACCAATATATGCTCAGCTGCCTATTTCGTCAGCCTTGTTTCTAGACGAATAATTTTTTAACTTCCATTAAGAATTATTACAAAATTAGATCTAACAAGCAAACCGAATTTCGGTGCGTAAGTCGGTTCTTTGAAGACTCTCCCCCCCCCCCCCCCCCCCCTGTGTGTGTGTGTGTGAGAGAGAGAGAAAGAGAGAGGGGAGGGGGAAGCACTGACTGGTATTCCTGTTGACAAGAATCCTCCACTGGGCCTTGCACTGAGCCCGCTGAAGCCAGTTTACATCCTCACAGCCATTTTCTTCACGATATATTTTAATACAACCTTCCTAACGCGCATACGTCCCCCCAACAGGTCTCTTCCATTCAAGTTTTCCAACAGAAATTTTATACGCATTTCTCCTTTTCTCCATGCACGGTACGTGTCCCGACCATACACGTATGGTTTGATCGTCTACATAATATTTGCTGAAGAGTAAGAAGTGTGGCAGCTTTGGTATTCCACGGCCCAATGCCATTCCGCTTGCAATGTGACCACAACCTAAGGGGGTGCTTTGCCCTACATCGACAAGCCAGCCGTGGTACGTGGAGGGAGGCGTCTTCTCTTTTTCAATTTTCCTTTCCCCTCTGACTGTGACGAAGCACAGGTTAGAAATTTTGCGTTAATTGTACTAACAGTGGAAATTATGAAGGGAAAAAATTGCTATGCCCGGATGACTCAGGACTTTGGGTTCCTGCTGGGATCGTCTTGTTGCATCTTGGTCCAGATTACATTTTCTCACACCATTGACTTGGATAAATTTAGTTAAGAACGTTGTTACATTTTTCTGTAGTCTGAAAAATATTAATTGCCGCGCGCCTCACTCACTGGCATCGTAAACGAGGACCTGGCGCGGTATTTCAGTCCATGTCGTTCGTCAGTTGGAATATTTTACGTTACATTTTTCATAAGCAGTAACACCTGTGTCGGGTTCGCACTGACACAGTTCCTGGCCTGTTGCTTTCGCTGGTAAGTCGGGGGAATAAAAGAATTGAGAAACATTAGAGCCTTGGACGTCGAGAGAGACCCCGCTGCTGTCTCAGCTGTATTAGGTCAAAGATATTACTGTTATTTAAAAGGCAATACAGTGAGTTTAAGGTTTATATACTGTCGAATGAAATTATGGGAATAATGTTTTCAGTATATTGGAAGACGGGGGTGGATGGGTCGTAGTATATTTCTGAACTAGCCTGTAGCCCTGAACAAAGTCAGGACATTGGGTGCAACAGCTTACATACTCGTAAGAACCAAACATCTTCATAAGACGCGTTTTGAGTTTTAGTACAAGTGGATAGCCACTGATTCTTATTTCCCGATGTTATGTCAATTAATTACAGACATTAAAGGGATGTCGAACAAGCCAGGAAGATGAGCATGAACGATGGATAGGTAAGGATCTGGAAGGACGTGATCGTGGTTTTTGACTTCCTATCCCGGCATCTGATTAGCGAGAGTAAAGAATACCACGAAAATTCTTGTTCAGGATAGCTATTAACCCGGTAGAGATTCGAACAGAGTACACCTATACCTAGGGTCGAATGGACTGTTTGATCTTAGTCATCTATTTTTTTTTTTCAAAGCTAAACCCACTACAGATGCCACAGTGTAGGCTCATAAATTATTCCCTTATATCACGTTAAAATTTCACGATATTAGACAAATGTTTTAAGTGAAACTTCTAATTCAATTGAATGTGTGGAAATGAATAAGAAACATGTTACATAAACAAAACTTTTGGCGGAGTGAAAACTTTTCATAAAGTTAAAATATCGACCAATATTGTTTTACAAGTCGCAGTTAGCAACACTGATTTATTTAAATTCTGGTACCATTGTTTACCTGTTAATAGCCTGAAGGGAATAATTTTTTGTATTTTGGCATGTGCTCTATTCATCGCCGTACGTCCAAATGGAATACACTTTCCTCTTTGCTTTCAATCAATATGCTTAGTTCGATTCATGCAAAGTGAACGCAAAGCCGGAAGGTCATGTCTGTCTTGTGTTCCACATGTTTACTTTCCTAAGTCACTAAAACGAATTTAAATTAAAACTGGCACAGTGGTTTCTAGCTGCTGGACAAATTTAATTTTGGTCCGTGTCAGTCTTATATAACTTCTGCTATACATGACACATTTAACTTCATTAAATTTCTAAAGTGTTTCGACGTATAAGGAGTAACAGATTACATGATTTAAAACAAGAGACCCGTGTTAGATCTACAACAGACTTATCAACTTTTGAAGACTTGGGGCAACATTTTCCCTTATACACTGGGTCACCGGTTTATGCACGAGTCCAGTAAAAATAACTGAAATTCAACAAATGTGTAGTTTCGATTAAAATTTTACACAGGTTTAACTTAGCATCACAGAGTAATCACATACATTGTAACTTAGAACAAAAGTTTGGATCACGTCAAATAATAATCACACACATCGAGAATAAGAATTTGTATTGCATCAGACAAAATCACATACCTGACAGTCTCGCCAAATGGTCTCCGAAGTACTGGTTTCCTTCTCATGGTAGGAGCAGACACTACTGTAAGATATTCAAGTATCCTTTGCTACTATGTGAATAGACTTCCACCTTTCCTAATAGACTTGGCTACCATTTCTAAATTTTCTGTTGTCCACGCAGCCTATTGAGTAGTTCGTGTTCTGTTTCAGGGCATTTGCAAAATTTTAGACTGCAGTTATAGCCTCAGTTTCAAAGAACAGAAATAAAATATGCGTGAGTTGGCAATTGTTATGTGAACCAACATTCGACAATGAAAACCAGCATTGGGACAGTGGGAGCCGATGGTGGGTTTTTTACCCGCCGATTAACCTTAATAACATCTCGAGCTTACCACAAACTATAACTTCCAGATTTATTACAGAACATTAAAATTAAATGTCTTTTTAAAGGTTTCTGCATTTGTAAATTGAATAACGTGATACCTAAAATACACTTACTGTGCCTTTATAACGCGCCACTTCCATAACACAAACACAGAAAAACATCTATAGCGATTGAACGACTACTGAAAAACTGAATGTCGCTTTCCGCTAGCAAGTTTGTTTGCACCTCAGAGCCACAGATGACAGCACCTTTCAAACCATTTTAAAGTCATGGGTGCTCGTAAAAAAGTGGTGGTTCTCATTTCCCGATGGCCACTGTTCCCCGTCACCTCTTCTTGGTAATTTTCTTTAACATGTTTGTTGATTTTATAAATAATTACTGAATTTTTAATGTGGGCGGTCCAAATAATAATTTTTTTAATCTACAACCTGCTTGAAACACTTTTTGGTGTGTTACGTAACGATATTTACTAATTTACAAGGAAATATTTCTTAATGTGAAGTGTGATATCTGCAGTGCAATAAGTTTCAACGATAGTTTATATCTGCAGAACTTCACCGCCGAAGAACGATGAAAAATCTCAAAGACTCTAAATTCTGTGTACACTTTCCACTCTTGTTTTTATTAGAAATGTAGCAGAAATCCTCCGAGATTTCGAACCGATTAGAAACTGAGATTTTCGGGCTTAGCTACTAATATGTCGTTGAGGTATGGGGGTTTGTTTGCCGGAGCAGATCTGGATCAGTTCCAAATAGTTGTGAACAGTTTTATGACACCCCTTGTTCCAACCAACTCACTGTTGTTGACAGAACTGGTACTGGAAGAAAACTAGTGTATGTGTGGGGGAGGGATATATATAGAGCCTATTTTTTTTATTAATGTTCAAGGATTACATTAGCAATCTTACAAACCAAATTTACAAGAAGTGTTCTAAGAGGCGTCCTCCACATTCAATGCAGGCATTGCATCGGCCAACGAAACTCTGGCGCACCCTTTCAAATATCCCAGGAGTCTCACGGACCACGTCAGATGCAGCAAGTATTCTGGCCAGGAGTTGTTCTGGGTCGTCCACCGGTGTCTCGTAAACGAGGCTCTTGACATGCCCCCAAAAGTAGTATTCGAGAGGTGTCAAAGTCTGGGGAGCGGACTGGCTATTTAACCGGCCCTCCTCTCCCTATCAAACGCCCGGGATACGTGTGATTCAAAATTAAGCTAGTAGGAGAATAGCAAAGTACGATTATTTCAGCGGTATGTTATCAAACTTCCCTAATTTCAATGGCCTCGACTGACTCAGGATAACTTCGGAGGACATGGATTCCTATTCCAAAGTTGTTCTCTCAAAGTACCTCTATACGCTCCTTCAGTTTGGCCCTAACCTTTTGAATCACCCTGTATTTATAATACACACTGAATAATGCATCGTGTTCTATTACCTTTACTCATAAGTCAAGAATGTCAGATGCCAACGACAAAATCGACAAATGATTTTTTTATCATAGAGGCACTTGGTCTGTTTGGCTCTGAATGGATTCTTAAAATATTTATGCTTCTCGTACATGCCTCATTAATTATCGTTACGTCGAAACTATTTCGCACAGTTGCCATGTTATTTCAAGTGTGGAAATAAAATGGACTTTTTAGGAACATACTTTCATTCAAACATGTCCTCTCATACAGACTTTAAGGAACGTTTATAATCTCCCGCCGTATTCAATTTTGTATATCTGCTCACAAAGGCTCATCAATCACTTATTGACGTATAACAAACAAGTTATCTTCATCTTGAACGACTTTATCACTGACACCCATTAAAACAGGACGTCATAATAAGGAGAAACAACATCTCCGCGCGCTATTATTGGGAATAGAACCCAGGCAATTCCGTTTGTACACTTACAGCTTAAACAAATTACTTATTTCGAAAAGCACAGAAGGGACATAAATGATCTCATTCTACACAAAGTGTGTAACACGTTACAGTGTTTATTTGTATGTGTGTGTCTAAAAAAGCCTGACGCTGTCTTTCAGCACAAGGAATATGTCTTCTTATGCTTCGTCTTTGATGCTTGCCGAACCAAGAGCCATATTTATCACTCCATTTTCATCGTCTGAATACTTCGCCAAGACTTTCAATTATTCCTCGAATTCCTTCTATGAGTTATGTTCTCTTTCGCGACGGCGGCATGACTGGTTTTTTAGTGTACTACTCTTTTTTCGATTGTTTTTATTATGTCTTCCTTTTCGTATTGTTTCTGTTGTTAAGCATACGATAACATACCTATAATGAGGATATTTGGTGGCTGTGCCATTAGGGCTAGGGTACGCCGCAAGTAACCCAGCAGTCGCACTTAGCGGAAGGCCATGCCGTGCTGCTAGCATAAGCGCCAAATATCTCCTACGTAAGGTGTGATTGTATTGAGGTTATGCAGCATCGAACATGAGAGTGGTTATGAATGATATTTGAGGATGTAGAAGGGATCAGTCGTGACCTATTTTAAGGTACTATCCCAGCATATGATTTGAGGGACTCAGAGAAACTGTGTGCAGCCAACTTTCGTGGCCAGAATCTAAACAGGGACTGCGGAAATGTAGGAACGGTAACAAAACCTGGAATCGCGGTGGACGTCCGGCGATAAATTCGAATAAATCATTTAAGTTGCTTACACAGCTCATCATAACCAAATGAAAACTTCTGACATGTTATTATTGACGTTCGTAACAGGCTGTTGTCGGCTGGATGTGAATGAAAATAAGGATATCTGACGACTATTTATGTTTATTTTATTTGTGTGTGCATGTGTATATCTGTATAACAGCGTCTCCATGTCCCCATCTTTCAACTCCGAAACTAGTTAACGGATTTCGCTAACATTTTGTACTAGGGGCTTCCTACACGTTTTCGGGAAGATTCAGCTCACATTCGTGACAGTTCACTATAATCCCTATTTTACATGAAGCTCAAATTAAATGTTATCGAATTAATCAAAAGTGGCTCATCAAATAAAGTGTATAAATGCTACGAAATACACAATTTGAGATTTTAACTTCTTTTTTGAGATGAAGATGACTATTTCCTGGGTTGTTGCGCCACGTAGTCTGGTATAAGTTTACCGTTGTTTTAGGCGTGCGTACTGCCTCTATCGTCAGGACGATAAGTACTCATCACCTCATACCAGACTTCACCGCACAACAACCCAGAAGACAGCCATCTTCATACTCGCCACCGTAAGAACCAGACATCTCAGTATTTTTTAAGTTTCTTTACGCCTGTATTAAACGAAACTTAAATATCATAAATGTATTTATCGAGAAAGAAGTCTGTTACTGTTTCTAATTGATCACAGACTCGCATATTTAGGCATTTATTGACTTTGCCATATTTTAATAAAATTCCCTGAAGATCCTATCGAAATATGACAAGGATTTGGAGTTTAAAATCAACACAGCCGAACATTGTTATGCATGCCATTCCCATTTTTGCACTCTTCAAGAATCTTAAGAGTGCACTACGGCCAGATTAATAGCTTGCACTTGGCAAGTGAGTGTAAAACTGGGGGAAAATTTGCCCTTTCATTGGAGACGCCAATTGTATCCCTGATTCTTTAGAAGAGTCTCTTCTGTATTTGCTAGTTGTAACTTACCACCAAACTTAAGCCGAACGTCGCCGTTGCGTGGTTATCACTCCCGAATTCGCAGTCTCAGGTTCAGATCTGGGCCCGGAGACTGTTATCGTGACAGTTTTTCTTGGACCCAGGCACGTTCTGGCCACAGCATCCTTTAACTTGTTTCCCGTTTCATCACTCTGGAATTTGTGGGATGACTTAGGGGAGGGGAGGAGCTTTCTTCCCCCTCAACTGTTCCACCACTGACGCATTTAAACCACCTGAGCACTCGCTCGGTAACTGAAACAGAAGTTCGAGGCATTACTGTAGCGCGTGCGGTAACGCCTGCCAAATGCTGAGCAACCCGCCAAGCTTACGGCAGTTCTCAGAATAAACACACTCCGTTCCCCAATGCAACGTAATTCCTGTGATTACAATAAAAAGTGAGAGTTTGCTTCCACCCGAAGCAGGAGAGCGAAAGTCACGGGCTTACACAAAGCAAAACAGGTTGAGGATGCTTCATTTGACAAAGTACTAACAATATTTTCGATGAAGGTGAAGATATGTTTCTTATGGGTCGTGACGCCGTGTGGAATCGATGGGAAACACCAACATTTCGGAGAAACGTATCTTTGGGGTTGAATATGGAGACAATCTACCTCTGAGTCCACACAGTGTCGCAAGGAAAAATAATATTTTCATCTCTGTGAGACTGAGATCTCACATAAGGGAGAGATAACAACAACAACAAAGGAAGAATGAAAACGTGAGAAGCATCACAGTTTTAATTCTTTGCAAAAATTAAGTGATTGCATTTAGAGTGTGAGACATGTAACATGTAGGTGCTCTGGGAAAACAAGGTATAGTACATACAATCATTCCGTTGATGAACCTCAAGAGATGAGATAATTTGGGGGACTTGGGTAGAGATTGGAATATAATATTAACATGGGCCTTGGAGATGTGGTGGTGTCAGGATGTCAGTTCATTCAATTGGCTTAGGATATTGTTTAATGGAGGTTTTCTTTAAATGGCAACAAATCACAAGTCCCAAACCAAACAACCAAACAAGAGAATTGCTTGACCAGCTGAATAACAATCAGCTAGCACAGGAGCACTTTGGTGTGGTGTCATCTGGTTAGCTGTGAAACCATTGAGCCTGATCTTGGAAAGGTGTGTGAATGGTCAAAAGTTTAAGATTTCTTTCACAAATCAGTAATTCAGACATAAGAGATTGCTCTTGGGACTTTCACTCACCGTTCTTGCCACAGGTCAGGCTTCTTGTTAGTAAACAAATAATTAAAATATATTATTTAGATTATTTAATAGCCTGCTGACCAGTTAGTTACGATGATCTCCTGTTTACAGAATGAAGAATTGGCTATGGATTATGATAACGGCTCTTGTACTACTGTCATTGACAGCAGTAAGCGAAGGTGCCGACTACTCGGACCTTCGTGGTCCATATTGTGCATCAATAAGGAATAGCTGCTGTCGTGGACGAATTGATGAATGTTCAGTGCCCATCCTGGGCACACGCTGTTACTGTGATGATTTCTGTAACCGGACACGCTCCGAAGATTGTTGCCCAGACTTTTGGAGCTTCTGCTTGGGAATAGATCCTCCTTTAGAAATAGGAAGTATGTCTTTTCATTCACTGTTCTCACTCTTTTGACTTTGGTGCCTGCATTGTTTAATACACACATGGTCTTAGAACCCAGTAACATTTGGGAACTTTGGTTTAAGTTCCATGTAGTTTGTGGATGTTTGTCTACATTCTCCTGTGTTGTCTAGAGATAGTAGAGATCTTGTGATGGCCTAAACCCTTATCCATCGAATCCTTATAATTTTACTAACAAATGGATTAACTCACACTCACACTCAATTAGTAGAACTGTAAGGTTCAAAATTTTTAAAAACGAAAACTCACCACTGGACACAATCCTGAGCTTGTTCCATCCATCTTAGATCCTCATAACCCATCTCTCTAAGATCAATTTTAATGTTATCCTCCCATTTCTTCTTTTTGGTGTTTCGAGTGGCCATATTCCAAGAAATGTCACTATCAAAAAACAGTCCTTGTCTTCACATTCCTATTTACATGTCCAACACGTCTTAGCAGTATAAATTTCCTAGCAATAATTCTACCTCTTGTTTTAGTAATGATTCAGACAACCTCTACTCTACAGGAGACTGTAAAGGAGACGGTGACCGAAATCAGACTAGCTTCAAGAAGAAGAAAAATAAGTGCAGGATATTTTACACTTATGAGTGATCAATTACTTTATCCTGGGAGATCTTTTAATTCTGGGTCCTTTTCTCCAAATGGAAAAGCATAAAAATAAACATTAAGTAACAATGTCAATGTTGGTCATTTGGATTATAACAACATGTGGACTTGTAGGGCTGAAAATGGAGACAATATGCTCTCCTAAAATGTGGCGTTACAAGTCAGAAGACCAACTTCAGCATCTTCTTTGCCAAAACTTCTGATCTTACATAAGGAGCATTACTCATTGCTGCATTGATAAAAATCACCAGTTTGTATCATTTATAACCTTATCATTTGTTCAGGTTGCTACCACAATGGCCATTACTACCAGTTTGGTGAAACTGTGAAGATTAACTGCAACTTGTGGTGAGTAACAGTAAACAACCAGAGTACTTGAGCATTATAGGGAAATTGGGGAGGTATGGGTCTGCTTCAGTGTTCTTTCCAACTTTGTGTCCCTCACTGCTCTTTCTGTTCTGCGAATACAGATCAGTCATTGGCACACCAAATTGCATAGGGACACAAGTTTTTTACTTTGTATTTCATTAAATAGTAGCAGTCCAACTTGTGCTTGTCCAAAATTCTCTTCAAATAAAACTCTACTGGAATTATGAAAGTTCTTATATGAGTTTTTAACAACATAAGGCACTGAAGATGATGTTGCACCATGCAGTCTGGCAGAGAAATTTACCAACATTTTGGAGGCAGAGAGCGCCTATGAAATGTTGGTAAAATTGTACCAGACTACACGACTCTACAAAGCAGAAGACAAACATCTTCAGACTCACTGCTGTGAAAACCTTAAATCCTACTTACCACTAGTTGTTTGTGGCAGCAAAGCCTGCAGTGCTAAAAATTCCTATAAAATACTATTGTCAAGTATTGAAAGGTTAACTTTATGGTGAAATTTTGCAGCTTTTTTGAGTGTGAGCACAATGTTTTTTTAATATAACCTTTCAAATAAGTGATTGTACACCTCTACAGTTGCTTCCATTCAATCACATTTTTAGTTAACTGAAAAATGCTCACACACTTATTCGATATATGTGGATTAGATGTCAAATTCAATTTTGTGCACAAAGCAATAAAATCATCATGCCCACAGATCACATTATGGATTAACTGATTTCATGAGGCCTCCTTATAACAAGGTCTGACAGACCTACAGGATGACTGGAGTGAACTGGAGAGATGCCTCAATACCCAGAGGACCACTGTCTCAACAAACATTGCTGTGAAAACCTCAAATCCTACACACACAAATATAAAATAATTTTTATGTGTCAAACAGTATAAATTTCACCATTTTCCCATTCTAGTAAAATGAGTATCATTATGGCTAGAAATATTTGTTGTACTGTGTGAGAATTGAAACCTGTATAATCAGAATTATTGCAAATGACGATATACTAGTTACTAAACCTTAACAGAAGGGAACATGCAGGAACCCGATCTGCACATGCAAGGATCATATCAGAATTGTTAAAATGTCTAGATTGAACTGCAAGGGATAGGATGTGATGTTTGAGTCATGTAAATATAATGATAATTTTTTTTGTTCTGAAATAGGAAATTTCTTGTCTTGCCTATATAAATTACCATTATTTAGTCAATAAAGTCCACAATTATTTTATACTATGATTGTATTCTGCAGCAAATGCCAACAAGCAGGCAACAAGGTGGAGCTACTGTGTGAACGGAATGAATGCCTGGTAGAGCCAGAAGTCTTATCGAAGGTCAACTCAGGTGGATACCATCTCAACTGGCGAGCAAGTAATTACTCAACATTCTGGGGACGACGACTAAATGAGGGCATCTCACTCAGGCTGGGAACATTGCAGCCTCAGAAAACGGTACCTTTCTATGGAACATTTTTTCCATTCAACCCTTTGTGGTACTACATAATATTTAAAGTATAAACCTGCATCATACATATACATTTCAGTATCCACTGGAAATGCAATTCAAGCATCCATGGCCAAACAGAGTAACACAAGCACATTTAAGTATGAAAAACAAGTTCTGAGAATAACTTGAGATGCAGTTTTTCTTGCAAATGCTTTAATCAATGTGGTGATGATACCATGAACTGTAAATTCATAATTATACAGTTTAGTGATCTGTAATTTATACTAATAGAGATTCTGACTGCAATAAATTTTCAAGAAGTAACTTTGAGGTTCAAACCATCACCTTGCTTGTAATTATTAACAGAAAATTATTTCATACATAATATGTAGGCATGTTTATGATTTATTTTAATACAAAATTTCAATTACCTACCCCATTGATTTATCAATAGTACCCATCAAACAAACACATAACTACCAGGGGTGGTAGAGATACATGGACTAATGGTCCCCATGAAGCTTTAAAGGGATCTTTTACGATATAAACTTATGATTGTAATATTTGCTAGTGGTTTTATGTAGCATTAACATATGGATCTTCATATTTTCAAATGAGATATCATCTATACATATATTATGACAGTGTTGTTCTTTTGGGTTGGAATGCCATGAAAACTTACAGGTAGAAGTTTCTTTGGAACCTACAAGTCACAATCTAAATCCGTGTCATCTTCGCAACCTTGAGAACATCAAATATCGACAGATGCATTTTTTGCGTTTCTCAGAACAATCAGTTCTTTAAATAAATACTGTAATTATGTGGTGTATTTGTGGTTGTACCCCAGGTCACTTTTATAGATACAAATCTTTTTTAAAGTTTGAGGTATAAAATCTACCATGTGAAAGGAATCTTATTGTTATGGCAAATATTTGCAAACAAGAACACTTTTTTTCCATATTACAATTAATATGTTTTTTAGTGTGGTTGTGTTGGAAAGTTGAATTCTACTGCAATTTATGTCCAAGTGTCAATGTTATTAATTTCCAGTCAAGTCTTTAAGATACAGTAAGGTGTTTAAAAATGGGAGGAACAGAAGGGGGACAAAATTAATAATTAATAACTTCTGCAGCTATTATGCCTGAGCCTACTCTTCACCTTCAAGCAAGAAAAGTTGAAAGTTTATGAAGAAAAGGAAAATAAATTAGTATAAGACAGTGATAGTAATAAATAAAATGCAATTATTGACATGAAAATACTGTTTTATATACTTCAGTAAAGCATATTTTGTTAACAATTAGGCAAAAATGGAGTATCACAGTGAATAAACATGTTGGTCTTCAACTATAATACATTGACTTTGGAACTAGGCAGAAATGAGCAATAGTAGTAGATTAAAACAGTATGCAGTTGATATTCAGCAAGTTTCATTGATAAAATTTAGAATTATGAAACTTGCCACCACAAGCAACAAGGTTTGGGAAGTAAAACATAAAAATTGGGTCTTTAGTGGAAAATTTAGCTTTATGTTGTATGAGAAGCTTCAATTGGAAATATAATAACTGTAATGTAACAGCTATATTTAGTGGTACATGACAGAAAAGGTGCCACACCCACACCACACTTCTTTGCTTGGTGTAGTGCCATAGGAGACTGGGTGAATTAAAGTCATGGAAATGACAATACAACATTGCAGATGTGCAATGAGCACCCACTATGCTGTGAAGCAAACTACAGTGCATCTATAATATGAGCAGTTGTTCTATTACCCCTGCCCTTTTACCATTCAAATAATAGGATAGCTGTTGATGAATAACAAACCAGCTTTAGAGGTATGTTACTGTTCTCCTGATCCTGTCTCTCTTTTTAAGCTACAGTAATGGCTCACTTTGCATCAGTGTTCCATTTGAATATTTTTATGTAGGGATAAGAATGTCTGCTCATAGTGTTGGGATGGAAGTTTGAGGAATTACACAAATACTTCAGCATTCTGTCTCTTGAAATTATTTAAAGTACATGAATTACTTTGAAGATGCAGACTCAAAATCCTTGCAAACTTGCATGACTGTAACATTATGGAGATGATGTGATAATGAAAAAATTGTAGTTCTTTGGGAACATTGAAAAGGGTGCGTAGGAAAATATGCAGATGGATGTGCAGGGAGATGTACAGACTTCAAATTATTCCAACATAACCAAGACTTGCCCAACAAATCCATCATCTGGTTTCCCTAAAACCCATTTGAAGGATATCCTTCCATCTCCTTCTGTGTCTTCAAAGTGGATATTTTTTTTGGGACTTCATTAAGAATACATAACAATTTTTCATAAATTTCCTAGAGCTGAAATCTGAAAGACAATTGCATATTCTGAGCATAGATGTAATTTTATCTGTGTATGCAGGTCATGAGGATGCGTCCAGTGACTCCAGTATATGACCCCCGACGTTTACCACGCAGTTTTGATGCTCGAAAAATATGGCCTGGGTTTGTGGAAGCAGTGCGGGATCAGGGGTGGTGTGGATCATCATGGGCTTTGTCTACAGTGTCTGTAGCATCAGATCGCTTTGCTATCATGTCTCGAGGTCTGGAGAAAGTGCAACTCTCAGCACAGCATCTGTTGGCATGCAATAATCGTGGACAGAGGGCATGTCAGGGCGGACACTTGGATCGTGCATGGCTCTTCCTCCGCAAGTTTGGGTTAGTATGACAAGGCTTCATAAATCTAGGTCAGATGTAGAGGAAGAGAATTAAATGTGATAAAATATAATGCAAGTATCTGATGGAAAATATGTCTTATTAAGAGGCCATGCAGATAAACATTCTGCAACGGGAATTCATTTCTATAACCCTGTTGGTGTAGTAGGTGACCCATGTTATTGCATATAGCAGAATAGAAGATTTTGGCATTCTGTAAACTGCCAAAGTTTGACAAACCCTCCCATGTCTTGCAGTGCCACTTCACTCTTTTTCTACGTGAGAATTTGTTTTCTATGACACATGCATCTGATGCTGTTTCAGTGTGGTGGATGAACCTTGCTATCCATACACAGCAGGATCAGGGTTCTTGGAAAGGTGTCGCCTACCTAAGCGGTCAAACTTGCTTACAGCTCGCTGCAATCCACCAGCCCATCCCCAGACAGTTCTACGTACTGATATCTACCGCATGGGACCAGCATATCGTCTTGGCTCTGAACAGGATGTTATGTATGAGATTATGGAGTCCGGACCAGTTCAAGGTACAGCACAGCATATGAGAATATTATATCAGAAACTGCCAACATTCATGCATAAGTCTGTTTTTATAGCTTCCTTGCATACAATACATAAAATAAACATACACCATTTAGAAATTGTTCCTTTGTCAATTAAACAAATGTGATTGTGTTCCATATAATTTAACTGTTACTTGTACTCTACAAGAAATTTTTATCAAACACCATCAAATTTCTCAAAAACATACATTAATATTGATTAAGCATTTAAACATATATAGAATTCTGTAAGCATTTTCTGCTGCTTGAAATTGAGTGAATGAAAACATGGAGCTGTACAGCCACTCATAGTTGATGTTAAAAGAAGTTTTGTGATAAGATTTATGAAAGCTGTTTGTTTTGCAGGGTTGTATAAAAGTGTATAGTAGGTCACAAACAAGCAAGCAGTAATTTCTTTGAGAGTGATGTTCATGTTTGTATGTCAATGTGTGAAGTGTATTTAGTATTTGTCATGGAATATTCATTAATTGTAAAGAATATGAAGATTTTTATATTTCTGCAGCCTTAACAAGTTACCAAGTAAGTCACATAATTATAGGGAGCTGCCATCTTGGAGTGGTTAAATGGCATGTTACTGCTGTGCCTCTTTTGATTCATTGGGCTTTTGGGTGTGCCCCAGAAGTTGGCACAATCTTTTGGAGGAGTTTTGATGAAGATGCCTGACCTGTAACATTTTTCTGTGGAGGTTTCATTGGTGTTACCCATGTCTGTGATGTCTTCTTCGTGCTACGTGGTGGTAATATCTTTGAAGGTATTTTAGAGGGTGTTCTAGCAGGGGTGTCACACTGATGGATGCAGTGGCCTGCGACCACAGAGCTCCTGTATGTTGCTTCTTGGTTTAACACTTCCAGATGTTCCACATGCAAGAGCATCAGAAGTACAAGCAGCATCATCATCATCAGGAGTTTGCAGTAGATTATTCTTGACGTCTGTATAGGTTGTCATATTTGAAGCTTCTGGATCATAATTTGTTCCTATTTCTGCAAAAATATTCCTAGGAACCACAGTTTGCTGAATAGGACGAGGGATGTTCTCTAAGGCAAAGGTCCCGTCACTTCTGGCGACCTTCTGAAATTTATGTGAACTGTGAAGAGGAGTTCCTGGTACATTCTTAAGTTTAGAAGCTCTTTACCGAGATCCCATTTTGGATTCAACATCAAGCAGACGATCTCTTGCAAATTTCTTAGCTTTCTTTCCTGTTCTTTATGCAATGTTCACTGACTATTAATAATATCTGAGACTGGTTGACCATTGATCTTGAACGGTTTCTTATGGTGTTCCTCATAAAGGCTGACATACTAAATCAGCTCCTTTTCAACCTTCGGCAATTCCTTTTGGATTACCTTCCTTTCTTTCTCTTCGACTAGCAGCTGGCCTCCACAATTATGGAATAGACAGTTTGGATCATTTTCTCGATTTTCTAACTCTAACATTTTGTCCCAAAGTTCCTGACACTGGTAAGCCAATTGAAAAATCACATTATTTTGCTCATAGTGAGACTGAAACTTATGGACTTCAAGTTCATATAATTCCAAGAGATCTGAAGAATATGGTCGAAACTCCATGCACTCTTCTTCGCTAATCAAACACTTATCCCACCAGTGTTTGAGCTCTTTCCGAATCTCCTCAACAAAGCATTTGATATTCTGGCGTTTTGAGTTCTTCACATCTCTTTAATTCATCCTTCAAGGCTTTCAAAGTAGCAGCAAAGTATCCTCAATGAGTAACGAGGAACTCTCTGCGCCTGTATTCTTCATGGAGACGGTTCCAAAGTTGCGCGAGTTTTTCATGCAACTCATCGATTTGAGCTTTTGTGTCTTCCAGTTGATGTTCTAACCTCTGGTGTAATTGTTTTAGTGCAGTCATATTCTCCCCAGTTGGTCTGAAAGCTGTGTCCTTCCCACATACAAGTTTCTCAAATTCCAGTGTTGGAACAATTGTAAGTTCAGTCATAATGGCAATAATTGCAGACTTTGATTCTTGATACACTTGCATCAACCGTTGCTTTTCATCATTTTTCTCCTTGATGTTTACTTCAAAATCATCCAGTTGTTCACTGGGGAACTGATTTGCAAAGTCTGCTTGTGGCTGAATACCCAAAGCATTTCAAATCAGTTTTTCCTTGCTTTACAAATCTGCTAATCTGCACGCACGTGACTCTTTGATTTTGCGATGTTCATCTAGCTTGTATTGCAGTGTCCTTTCAACATTACACAATGGCACATTTTCACACCCAGTTACAGGAATCTCCATGTTCAGATCCTTACTCAATTCTGCTATCTGTTTCAAATCTAAATCTAGATAAAGCGAACATAATAAAATTTCCAACAAATGACTCACCACAATATGTTTTAAGTATTGATTATAATGGGAAGTATATACAAGAGTCAATAAATACTAAATTCTTGGGTTTGCAAATTGATGATCACCTAAATTGGACAAATCATATTGACAAACTGATACCTAAATTAAGTGGTGCATGTTACGCAATTAGATCTCTGTTGCATGTCAGCAACACTGACATACTCGGATCAGTATATTTTGCCTATTTTCATGCTATAATGAAGTATGGAATAATTTTTGGGGGTAAGTCATCAAACAATAAAAAGATGTTCACTTTACAAAAGAAAATTATTAGATTATTGGCTGGTGTAAAACCTAGAAATTCATGTCAAGTCTATTTAAGAGATTACAGATCTTAGCTCTTCCTTGTGAATACATATTCTCGTTAATAAACTTTATTGTAAATAACCAAGAACTCTTTCAAACTAATTCTGCTGTACAGTGTCAACACAAGGAATAAAAATCAGCTTCATAGACCAGTTGCCAACCTCTCATGCTTTCAGAAGAGTGCATATTATGCAGGAATCAAAATTTTCAACAGTCTACCATCAAGTCTCACAAGTCTTGTATATAAGAAGGAGCAATTTAAGGTAGCATTAAAAAGATATTTAATTACACACTCCTTTTACTCTGTCAATGAATTTATGTTGTTTACAAATAAGTGATAAATTTTCTTCTGTGTGTAATGGGTAGATCTATTTGTAGCTTATCATTTCTTAGGTGAACCCTTTGTTTTGTATTATGTGAAATTTATATAATAGTATGAGTTGTACTTTATATTATGTATTGTATTATTATTATGACTTTTTCCACATCCTATTGTCATCTGACTGTCTTATGGATCCATGGAATGTAATAAAATATGTATGTATGCATGCATGCATGTAATATCTGTATTATTAACAAACTTTTTCAACAATAAAATCTATTACTATGCAGTTCAGGATTTATACTGTTATTTAGTTCCATTAATAATAGATTTGCCGGTGGAAGACCCAAAATTGTAAAAAATGCAATTACAGAATAATGATGTGACTTCTTTTGCTGCCTTCTACAAATCAGACTAATATCTTATATTACTTGAGGCTTTTGTGAAGATGTCATTATGGAGACAGAATGTTTCTGTAATGTTGGACTGTAGCTCCATTTTGATACGGCTTGTCACCCAATAGGATTTTATTGCACACTAAAATCTGTTGCAACTTCTTACTTATGTTTTGAATGGTTTCCTTTTATTTTCATATTTTTTTGTTTTGTAATGAAGTGCATGTTTTTTGAGTTTGTTGTTGACCAGACTGTTTAAGTGACTTTCAGTTTTCTCCATACCCACCTATTCATCTATTTACTGAATAAATATTTCCTTCCATTTATCGTCATTTTTATTTTTGCCTCATCTGGTACATCCAGCCTCATTTTTCTCTTCCTTTTGTTACTTGAATTTTATCAATGTTTTTGCGCTTTGTAACCCTAGTTTTAATTCCATGTACTATTTTGGGAACTTCCATCAGTTTACTAAAATGTATTTTAATTTACTTACTCATCATTTTAATGTTCTGTTATTGTCTTCATTGTTGTTGACATTGCCATATTTTATTATACAGGGCCAGTCTAAATGCTGTTCCCGATTTGAAACACATGTTACTCACGTTTAATGAAATTCACATGCACAAAATTGGTACCGATGGAAAGAGAAACTCTCCAGGTTTATGTTGGTATACTTCGCAGCCGCGTAGTAACACTGTTCGCCGCCAGGGGCGACGTGAGAGAAAATGGCTGCCATCGAAGACGGGAGCTTTTTATGTCCTGGATTTCCACGTTTACCAGTCTGTTATTAGTGTGCAACAGCATTTCCGAACCAAATTTGCGCCAGATCCACCCAGTGGGCATACAATTCGTAAGTGGTATTCCGAATTTAAGAATAGGGGCTGAATCTGTAAAAGAATGTAGCACCGGCCGCCCGTCAGTAAGCGAGCAACGTGTTTGGGAGGAACTCTACTACAGGCTGGATGTGTGCCTAGTTACCAAGGGGGCTCACATTGGACACCTGTGATGTACTGAAACTAAACTTGGAGAGTTTCTCTTTCCATCGGTGCCAATTTTGTGTATCTGAATTTCATTAAACGTGAGTAGCATGTCTTTCAAAGCGGGAACATCATTTAGACTAACCCTGTATTTATCAAGCTTCCTAAGAAATGTCACATGACAAGTAATACAAACATGAAACATCTTCCTTAAAATTAAATAGTACTTCAAACTGACGCAACATGACGCTAATTCTTACAGCTACCATGAAGGTGTATCAGGATTTTTTCCTGTATCGGGGTGGAGTGTATCATCGCTCTGGCTATGGAGATCAGACCTCCAATGGCTACCATTCAGTGCGAGTGGTTGGTTGGGGTGAGGATGTGACACATGGAGAGCCCATCAAATATTGGGTGAGAGTAAACTGTTATTATACATCCTTTACACTAAGTGCATAAAATAAAATCAGAATGGGAAGACTGTTTGTCCATCTATCAGTGTTTTTTCATCTCCAAAACTACTTGGCAAACTTCTAATTAAATTTGGTGTAGGAGGTTTACTTTAAAATTTATAGAGCAAATTTCATTTTGGTTCATAGAATTTCAATATAACCCCCACTTTACATGAACTTCAGATCAGACTTCATCATTGAGCCGATGACATTAAAATAAATCTTATGGTGTGCATTTGATACTTACTTGAAACTTTTCCAGTATGATGAATATGTAAAGAAATACAAGGAAAAATAATTTGTGGCTATATGCAGTGTGAAATGATTCTAACAAAGGGCATATATCTGCATTAAATGAATACCAAGTTCACTAAGAACACACTATCACAGAGAATGGTTTGTGAAATATATAAGCTCTAAATTGGAGCATACATTTTCATTATTTGTTAGGTACATAAAACTTGAAGATTTCCGTCTTCTGGGTTGTTGCGCAGTGTAGTATGGTAGATGTTTACCAACGTTTCAGAGGTCATACTGCCTCTGTCATCAGGGCAATGAATATGCCAATTGAGCAGAGGACTAGAACCGTCTTTGTCCTCGTCCTGATGTATGAAGATGGTTCTTGAAACGTTGGTGTTTTCTTCATTAAGCTACCTTACACAGCTGGTAGCCTGAGAATAATTTATTATACTTTGTCACCATGAAAGCTTCAGATCATACATTTTTTGTTTCAGTTGGTAGCAAATTCTTGGGGAAACCACTGGGGAGAGAATGGCTACTTCCGAATTCGAAGAGGTGTCAACGAATGTGAAATTGAAGACTTTGTGTTGGCTGCATGGGCTGACACCCTTGTACAGACTGTTCCAGTCAACCCACTCACTCCGAACAATCAACTCAGTAACAATATCTAGATAATAAACATAACAGCATATGCTGTGCAATGCCATGAACACTGCCATAAACAATGAGTGTATGAGTAGAATAAGTACTGTGTTTATGATGTTGACAGCAGTACCAGTAGGGCTTCAGTTCAGAGCAATCCAGACTACACAATTGTTGCTGAAGTGATAACAGCCCCCAAGAGCAATCAGTTTTTAAAATGGTGAGACAGAAGCATAGGCATGCTTGAGTCTTTGGTCATCTAGATTCAAAATGCATTTACATAGCTGGATAGATAACATAGCTGTTCATATAATTTGTGCACTTATCATTGTTAAGTCACGTATTGTTTATTAACCATCAAAGTGCCACTAGAGGTCTAATGGTCTATAGGTTACTCTGCTGATCAATTGCTAAAATATTTAGATAGATGAAGTCTAGTTGCTTATTCACTTCAGCTGTGTGCATGTTCTGCATAAATTGTGTTTTGTGTGTTGATCACAAATTATTGTCTTGACTTTTCATACAATGATTCTTTAAGTGGAACACTTGCGAACTCATCAGTATTATGCTTTTGATGCTGTTTTAGGAAAGGCTAATATTCTGCTACTGTTTTAAAACTACTGCACAAAAATATTGAGAGGAGTGCTTGAACAAAACTTTTAAATTGTGGAAGTGGTTCAAGGAAGAACAGAATTTGCACTTTGGATTATGTTAAGTTGGGGCTTTCATATTTAACAACTGAAAGCAAAATTTGAAGAAATGTGTACACATCTCTGGAGAGTGCTTTGAGAAATGCAAAGTGGAACTTGACAGCAGTATAGTGATGGCAGGTGCAGTTCACAGATTATATGAACAGCTTGTGTTCCAGTGACTATTTATGTAATTAACCCCGTGTCAGTTATACTTTATTCCCATTGCCTGTAGAGTCGACATTATACGAGGCGTATTCGGAAAGTAAGTACCGTTTGGGAATTAACAAAAAACAAAACATATTTTTTAAAAAAAATGTATTTTCATCAGATTCTACGTTTCTTGGGCTACCTTTCGACATAGGTACCGCCATTATTGAGGCACTTATCATAGCGGAACACAGGTTTTTGTATACCACCCTCGTAGAACGCGGCCGCCTGCGATGTCAGCCACTGCTGCACTGCCTCTTTCACTTCATCGTCGTCAACAAAATGTTGACCAACCAGGAATTTCAAGTGTGGGAAGAGGTGAAAGCCGCTTGGCGCCAAGTCGGGGTTGTACGGGGGGGTGATTCATTTGTTCCCATCAAATAACGTGATAAGGTTTTGAGTCTGAGCAGCAGCGTATGGTCGAGTGTTGTCGTGATGGTCGCCCAATTCGCGCCTCATCATTAACGTTTTCACGCCCTTCATTGAACTTGTGAACCCATTTCCTAACCATACCATCACTCATTGCATTTTCACCATAAACAAATCTGGCGATGAATATCAACCGGCCGCACATTCCCAGCGTTAAGAAAACGAATAACAGACCTTATTTCACAGTCGGCGGGCCGTTCAATTTTCTTAAACATTATTAACGCCCACGGAATAATGTTAACTGACACTACTTTCACGAAATGGCGTCTGTGATGAATCAATGGATAGAGGAAGGCACCGCGCATGCGCAAACGGATTGTTTCGATGATGCGCGGGAGGTATGCCCAAACGGTACTTACTTTCCGAATACATACCAGGAAAGGTATATGGTGCAATAGATTAAAAATCTTGTTTAAAATATGCTGACAGTTGCAGTGAAGGAGCTGCTCAAAATTATGAATGGTAGTTATTACAGCCAACCACAAGTCACTGTTCCAAGCACAGCACAAAAATTATTGTCATCTGGTCACTAGAGCCAACAAGAAACTTTCAGCTACTGGCTAATTTTCTACTGAGGTCTTTGGAGTTGGCTTTTCAAGATGCAGTTGTAGTCCCATTAAATGATATTTACCCATTACCATGTACTGCTGCCCAGAATATCAGTATCTGACTTATTTTATTTTGGCTTTCCAGACTAGCCTAATGTCCCAAATGTTTTGAGTGCCCCCTTTGCCTTATTAGTTTTATGTTTTATCTGGTGACCAAAATATGTCTGGCTTCCAAATTTTCAAAGATTACTATCAGTCTGTCTTTCTGCTGTGATGACATCACATGACCTGTGAATTTTGTAACTTCCCAATCTGAGGATCAACAGGTCAGAATGTCACTACTTGCTCTATGTGTGTGTGTGTATATGTACACTCTGTAGTTATAATGTATGAAGTACAATGAGGTGCCCCAAGTTTTTCAGGCAAACTTTCATTTTGGCTACATATTACCCTTTGAAGGCCAGGTATTTTACTTTCTAAAGAGGAGCACAAGGGTTTAATTATACCACAACTGCTGTGTTATAATTTTCCAGCAGATATATTGTACATACAACTCCTACACTGCCACCTGTTCTTATCACTGCCAAACATATAATTACCCCCCCCCCCCCCCAGAAAACATAACCTTTAACTGTAACAAAAGAATATTAAAGTAACATCAGAGGATATTTCTATGAATGTGTAAGTATGGTAGACCTGATGACCAAATCCTCCAGTTGAAGAGAATTATGAGAAGTTATTCATTTATCATTTCTAGTCTACTATGAATAATATGCATGTGATCAAGAAGAGGTGATTTGATTACTCCCTCAGAAGAATCACAGTTATACAACATTCATTTCTAGTACTTTATTATAAATGTTGGACAGAAGATTTGTGTGAACAGCAAGGGAAATTATAGGTTTATTAGTATTGTAATTGAATGTGGTATATTAGTTTTACAGAATAGTATGTCTTTCAAAATAAATTTTAAAGCAATAAAATTACTCTGAGTAGGATTTGAAGTTCTAATGGCATCAAACATGAAGACTGCTTTCTTCTGGGTTGTGAACTGTGCAGTCCAGTTGAAGTTTACATTGTTTTAGAGGTGTTTGATTCCTCTATCATCGGGGAACTTCTGCCAGACATGTCTCAACCCAGAAGACAGCCGTCTTCAAATTGCTCTCAAATTACACTGCTTGAAGCACTTGCTACATGTGTACAGACTTTACCAATTTTTATTGATATACTGTCAATGTAAGTTGGTTGGTGTTTTTCCTATGATGCCACTATTATGTTGCACTGCCCTTGATATTCTACAGAATTTTGTCATCAGGATCTTGAACTTATTCAGTTTATTTTCAATGATTATACAGTTCATTTTATGTGTGGTTAGCGATGGTCACTTTAAGACCTTGGTATTGAAGAACCGTCTTTATTTTGGCAGCACAAAGTGTCAGGAGTAATCACGACTTATGATTAGTATATAAACTACAAAGATCTTTACTACAATGGGATGTCTGGTTAATGTTTATAATGTATGCCATTACTCTGAAAGTCATGAGTTTGGCAGTTAGATTGGATCAACTTGATATATACTTGAGATATATCTCCAGCTGTGAATTGATTAGATAAAATTGATTTTTGGTAGCTTATGAGTTTCAGCTTGATGCATCTTAAAATCAGTAGTTGATGTGTAGTGCCATGGCAAAACATTCACATAATATTGGAGCAAATAAGATTGGCTAGTTGGTTTTTGATTCTGATTCTGAAGAGCAAATTGCTCAAAACGACTCTGATCTTGAATCCACATATATATATATATATATTTGATGATACAGTTCCAGTAACTTGGGCATGGCTCATCAGAAGGAGTGAAGGCAGGGCTTGAGTATATTAGTATATTAATTCTGATACTGGTTTGAATCGCATTACTGAACCTGTATTATTACATATGTTTATAATTTGACCTTTTTTATTGATATTTGTATATGAACTGTTTATAATATTTTGGTACAGTCAAACTGCTACTTCAAAATGAATGAAAATCTACCAGACAAAATGAGTTCTGATAATGATTGTTTGTGCAAGCATTTTTAAAAAACTATAACAGTATCTATTCCTCATTTTACTATCCTACAGAAAATTTGGCTGTACAGTGATCATTGTGAAATTCAATGGAAGAGTAGTTTTTAGATGGTACGTCTCAAGAAAGTGAAAAAACTATAGAACAGAATTACACAATCTTTATCATAGTAGGGGATATACATATGGCATGTCTAGGGAAACAATGTGTGACTGTTGCAGATGTCACCACATAGAGCGGAGTTCAGATTAAGAAACGCAAATGGAGGTTATTGGACAAAGTAGTTCATGGACAGTTATTTTTCATCATCTGAACTCTTACTCTGCAGAATATGGAAATTAACAGCTGTTCATTTATCATATTGAATTTGAATGCCAACATACTGTGGGCTAAACACCTTCAAACTGAAAAAAGGGAACAGCCTCCCAGCAACAGGTTATTATGTATATATACAAGGAAATACATCAAAACCTTTACAAATTAAAAGTTATAAGAATGCATGGGTGATGCAGATATGAGTGATATGATGACAAGCATCGACAGTACTACTAAGAAAACATGTTAAGACTAAAAAAAACTCCTCTTTTGTTGGTTCACCAAACAACCCTTAATGATTTATAGTTCTTGGGGTGCAAATTGATCCATAA